CCCTGTTGCGCTTCGGACTGAAGTGAGCCGTCAGAGCATCCTTCAAGTCGTCGTAACTTGTAATGCTACTGCTGTCAAAGGTGAGGTAGACGTCAAACACGTCCTCACCGCCACCGTGCAAGAGCTGGGCTCTCTGCCGCTCGTCTTCCGTGATGTTTGCTGCAATCAAATAATTATCGAAACGAGCCAGCCATTTCTCCCAACGAGGGCCAACCGACTCAGGCGGTTCCAGATCAAACGGGTTCAATGATTTTACTGTGCTCATCGTGGCAGCTGAATCAAGGACTTCGTCGCCAAATATTATGATCACACCAGAGCAGTTCAGAACAAGACAAAAGGGGCACTGTTGACTTCAAGATCAAAGCTAGAACGCCGAACTAGAACGACAGAGAAGCTCAGCAGCACAACGGAAAAGCATGCGCGGCTGATACAACTTAGGGTAGAGGAGTAGAAAGATAATGATCTATCACGTGAGGTAGCTCACTAGTACGGATATCACATGCGCTCTCTGAGACTTAGCAGGTAGTCCCATTGCCAAGTTGTCCAGAAGTCCTTGACGAGGGCTTGGCCTTTCTTCCACCCCTGTAACAAAGAAGAGGCAGAAGAAAGGCGACACAAAAAGTCTGGGTAGATATTCTGTTCATCAATTAACTCAGGAAACATTAAATTAGGTTTTAAAGATAGAAAGTGGGAAGGTGTGATCACATCAGTGCTAGCCATAGGTGTGTCTCCCCCCACGTAAACGAGAGGCCGACTGTTGACTGCGGCCTTCGCTTCAGTAAGAAATGTCCGCAACTGGTCTGGGGTCAGGTGGGCTGATCCGACAGTCTTGCGGAGAGCTCGTTTCACAAGCCCTACCATTCGCTCATAAATTCCACCCATCCAAGGGGCGTGCTGCACACTAAAGTGCCAGTCGGTGCCACGTGCCGTGATGGTGTCGGCTACTGCTGGGTCGCTGATCACCTCCTTTCAAGCCTTGTCGAGGGTTGTCTTCGTCATTTTAAACTGTGGCGCGTTGTCTGACCACATCGCTCTGGGCACACCTCTACGTGATACGAAACGGCGGAAGGCTAGTAGAAATTGCTCTGATGACATATCCGTAACAAGCTCGAGATGGACTGCGCGTGTTGATAGGCATGTGAAGAGGGCTACCCAAACCTTTACCGATGCTTCAGCTGTCTTCGCGAAGAGAGGACCAAAGTAGTCGACGCCGGTGTATAGGAATGCTTCTGCTACGTTGACTCTTTCCGGTGGTAATGGAGCCATTGCTGGCATGTCAAACGGACCACCTTCAGCTCGACGGCATGTGATGCACTTTTTTAGGATGGTCTTCACGGTACTGCGGCCTTTAGGGATCCAGTACTTCTCCCTTATGCTAGCAAGAGTATGCGACACTCCAGGATGCATGAGGATGCGGTGATGCTCGTCGACGAGCAGTCGTGTTACGGCTGAGTTATGAGGCAAGAAAATAGGGAACTTAGAGCTAGGTGGAAGGTTCGCATGTTCAAGTCTTCCACGGCTTCGGATGAGTCCTCTGTCGTCGATGTAGAGACGAAGAGACTGTACGGTGTTGTTCTTCCTTTGTTCCCGGATGGCTGATACTACGTCGGTACAGTGGTTTCTCTGGGATGACTGCAGCCACAGGTTGCGTGCACTACACAGTTCGGGAACAGTGAGCTGATCTTTAAGTTTCTTGGTTGCTGATTTTCTGCAATTTCGGATGAAACGCTGAGCCCATGCTGTGACACGCACAAGTCGACCCATTGTTGAGAAGTCCGACGCGCTTAGATCAAATGGTTCCGAAGGATCTTCCCCAACAACAAGAGAGACAGCTTCAATAGGATCACTACACCCTTTTTTTGAGCGGATGTAATGAAACCGAGGGTGGACTAACTCCTTTTTTTTTGGACGGAGACCTCGATTCTTCCGTATTGGGCTGTTCAGGTTCTGGAACGAGTGGGTTCTGCAACCACTCTGGGCCGTGCCACCAGATGGACTCTTCGGAGAGGTGAGAAGATGTTCCTCGCGACGGGAGATCAGCTGGATTGTCTCGCGAAGGAACGTAGCGGTACTCGGCTTCAGATTTACGTATCCGAGTGACTCGACGCTGGACAAAGGAAGGTAAGTCCTTGCGACTGTTGATCCATCCTAACACACATGTAGAATCGGACCATAGAATAATGTGATCAAGATTAATCGGGAGCTGCTTTTTCAAGAAGGCGATGAGATCGGCACCAAGTGCTGCTGCCATGAGTTCCAACTATGGAATGGTTAACTTCGGAGACGGCTTGAGCGGAGCTAACTTAGATCTACTAAGAATGAGGTGCGATTCAGTAGCAGATCCGGACGATGACAAGTATGCAACTGCAGCATAGGCAGTTTGCGAAGCATCGCAGAAGACATGAAGTGTGTGTTGGTCGGCTTCTGGAATGCAGCATGGACGTGGGATGCTGTGATTTGTAGCATCGTCGAGTTCTGCGGCGAGAGTTTTCCACGTGTGGAGAATAGAAACTGGGAGTGCTTCGTCCCATTGGAGCTTCTGCCGCCACACTTCTTGTAAGAGGAGCTTGGCCTTCACGACGATGGGTGAATGGATGCCAAGTGGATCGAAGAACTGAGCTACGGCCTGAAGTAACTCGCGCTTGGTTCGGACTAGTGTGTCCGACGCTGATGTGTTTGCTACTTTGAGGTGATCAGTAACAGTGTGCCAATCTAGCCCAAGGACCTTCTGGTGTTCGCCAGACGCACGATCTGATTCTGGGATGCTCTCTATGAGGGCTGCTGAGTTAGAGGACCACTGTCTGAGGTTCATGGAGGCATCGGCGAAGACTGACTTGGCGTGATGGTAGAGGTTGATACCAGTCGAGACGGAGTCTACACCAAGAAGGACGTTGTCAACATACGTATTCTGCATGATGTTGGATGCCTCTGGGCTACCGGATGATTCAAGGTGGTGTTGGATGGTAGCTCCGAGCAAGAAGGGGCTCGAGATAACTCCGAATGGTACTCGACAAAAGTGATACGTGATGATATTTCCTCCAGCGGGTGGCTGGAAAGGATCTCGAACCCATAGGAATCTCGTGACGTCTCGACCTTCGTTAGCGAGTGAAAGTTGGAGAAATGCTTTCTCTACATCACTAGAGACAGCGATGGGTTCAAGGCGGAACCTCAAAAGATTGCCGGCGAGATCTGGTAACAGTACTGGACCGCGGTGAAGACATTCATTTAGTGATGGACTGTTCGGAGACGACTTCGCTATGTTTCAGGCTCCCTGCCACACTCCAACAGCTCCCTTGCTTGCTAAGTTATCCATGCCATCACTTCACCAAGTCCTTTTACAGAAGCTGCTTGTATTTGTTTTCCGGTCTATACCCGGATCTGCAAGCTCTCTTTTTCAAGATTATTTTGTATTACTTGCCCAGCCTCAGATACCACTTGCTGATCGTATAGTCACCCGTGGACAGCTGTATAATTTACTTCGCATCCCATTCCTACCCAATCCTGCTGGGAGCTGTTCTATCCAATTTCTGGGCAGCACCACATGGAACTCTCTACCCGATGCTACCCGCTCTCTAACAAACCTTGTTCATTTCAACAAATCTCTTTCAGATCTTGATCTCACTTCACTCCATTAGCTTTTGACATACTAGTACGTTCTGTCCCCTGTCCATCATCAATATTATCTACATGTTCAACCACAGCACACATAATATCTCGAACTCGTCAATCACTGAACTGGTTTTATTGTAAAGAAGACACGAACTTTTAGAGTGTGAAGAAGAGTATAGCAGATAGAGAGCGGTGGAAGGAGAGCCGCTGGACAGCTGGATAGTGTATCAATAAGCGCACGAGGGGAAGGCTAGACACCTACATTGTTTAAGCACAACTCTGTACAATAGGATTGTGACCGTTGGTCACATAGCAATGAAGAGAGTGTTTGGACTCGATCGTACCACGCCCACTGAACTAGTTCTTCGCTTATATCACCTCTATTCTTGGAACAGCGTAGTAGCCTCAAGGTCTATGTACCGGTGCTTGGCCCAGCATCTTGCTAGTCCTCTTCTTCAGTCTTTGTACCAGCTTCGGGCAACTGCACCTGG